CCTTTCTGTCTCTTGGGCTAATACTTTCCTTGTGTCTTTGGTGTTCTTCATTCTCCTTTACTCCGGTAGTTGGGACCAATTGATGCATCTTAGATGGCCGCTCACTAGCTTTTAAGACCCCAGATGTCACTCACCAAAGTAGGATGCAGAACATTTTCTTAATAAGCTTTGTTATGCCAATTGACCTAGATATCCTCTGAAAGCATGGTCCCCAGACCAAGAGGGGTAGGTTCTTAAGGCCCATGGGTTTTATCCTGAGGGCTTAGGAAGCTATTGAAGTGATCACATTTGAGTTTTAGAAATCTCCAGGGTCTCTTGGGGCCTCCCATGCCTTTCTCTAGCTCTGGGACAGTATCTCCTGTTTCCCACCCTCACTGGCCTTGGGAGAGGGTCTGATCTCCCTCGCTGCTCTCATGGAGGGCGGGCTGCCATTTATGCCTGCTCTGTCCCTGCAAGAAACCATGGTAAATGCATCCGAACCAGCTGAGAACTGGTCTTGGGGACCGTCTTCTGGGGATCTGGCTTCTAAATGATTGTATAAGCCACCTCCGACTTTGCTGAAAGGGAGCAGGTCTTGGCAGTGGGGTGGGGTTGGAGTACTAGATTTGGGAGTCCTGGGAGGGAACAGGAGGGGTGTGAGCTGGGCCAGTCTGTGGGACTGTGTTCACCATCCTCTCTCTCCCCAGCTCCCAAAATGGCGATGAAACCGGCACCTGGCCCAACAACCAGTTTGACACAGAGATGCTTCAAGCCATGATCTTGGCCTCCGCCAGTGGTGAGTTGTGCCAATATGTGTGGTGGTGTAGGAGGCTAGGAGATCTGGGGCTATGCGATGCATCCTGCAGCCACCATGCCCTGAGACTGGACATCAACCTGTGTTGTGTCTTGGATCTTTCAGCTGGCCCAGAGGCCCATGATTCCAGGGCTTAAAGCCAGGTGATGGAACAGCAGAGGGACTGGGGAGCCCTGGGATGGCCAGAGGGCAGTGAACAAGGAGAAATTCATTGAGGAGAGGTGGGGAGTAGTGGTTACGAGCCTAGCTCTGGAGCGGACAGTACAGGTCAGGTCCTAGCTCTGCCAGTTACTATGCTTGTGACGTTGATCAATTTACTTAATCTCTCTAAATCTCAGTTTCCTCAGGCAAGAAATGAGGACAGTGATCTCAAAAGGTTGTTGTGAGGATTAAATGAGATGGTACCATAAAGCACTTAGTGCAATGCCTGGTGGATATTCCCAGCACAAAGAACATGGTATTTGAGACCCCACCCCCACCCACCTTCTCATTTTTGCTGCCCAGAGTAGGATTTTGGTTTACCCACAAGTCTAACAGAGAAATTCAGCAAATGGTTGTTGTCCCTGTGTAGTCACTAGGGTCCTGAGCAGGAGAAGTAGAATAATATCACCAGTAATTAAGAGCACAGGTTTTAGAGGCATGCTACCACTTAGCTGTGAGTCCTTAGGCAAGTCACTAAGCTGCTGTGAGTCTCAGTTTCACCTACTGTGTAATGGGCACAATAATAACAGACCTCATTGTATTGTCACGAGAGTCAAATCTAAGGTGTCCACACAGGGTTAGCAGAGAGCAGGGGCACAATATATGATGGCTATAATTGATTAATTATTATTTTTATTGATTTATAGGAGTGAGAGGCAGAATTAGAATAATGCTTATTAATAAGGACTAGCTTCTGAAGCAGCAAATCCAGGGCTCATATGGAGGCTGGTAGAGGATAAGAGGCTTATGTGGAAGCTGGCATTGGCCATATGTACTGAACTGAGAGCCTCCAATACATCTGGAGGGCTGATAGGTAGAGAACCAGGTAAAATCATAACAATAATCACCATCATCACTACTGTGTGTTGTCCTGGGCATAGGCTAGACAAACTTCATGAGCCTCATAAGGTGATTATTTACATTTGACAGATGAGAGACTTGAGAATTCATTTGCCCAGGGCCTGCCTGTGATGATCTAACTGCAGAGCCCCAGTTCTAACCCAGACTGACTTCCAAGCTCAAGCCCTTTCTACTAAGTTCACCATGTCTGGCTTTAGATCCAGTGTCAGTTTCCCTTTTAGCCAAATAGGTATAGAGGCTGAACTTCTTTTAAAGCCCTGGATTATTCTCCCAGATTAGGGTTGCCAGATAAAATACAGAGTGTCCAGTTAAATTTGAATTTCAGATAAACAACAAATAATATTTTAGTATAAACCCATTGCCATCGAGTCAATTCTGACTCATAGCGACCCTATAGTATAAGTAGGTCCCAAATGTTGCACAGAACATACTATGCTAAAAAGTATTCATTGTTTACCTGAAATTCAATTTTCACTGGGTGCCCTGTATTTTTATTCGCTAATCTGGCAACCCTACCCCTAATCTCTGAGGCTGAGTGGGGCCAGGCCTGTGGTTGGTGAGGGGGTAGAGGAAGGAAGAGGTACAGGGGTGGCCAGTCTGGCAGGCTGTAATTTCACAGAGGCCAGAACTAGGTATGGGAGAAGTTGCTGGGTCTGGGGAGATGCCAAGTCAGGCTTTCAAGGGAAGTAAACACAGTCAGGTATATTTAGCTGTTGTGGCCTTGAACCCTAAGGCCAGGAAGCAGACTTTTTAGCCTAAATCCAGATTTTAAAAACAGAAACAGAATCAGTATTTATGGCTCAAAAGCCTCCCAGAAGGTCCCCTGGGAGCCAGGGTCAGTGCAGGCTCACTCCCCTGTCAGGGCCCCATCCCTCTGGCCCACACAGAGCCTAACCCCTGGAGCTAAGCCTAGGCCCTGGGGAATGGACCTTGGGGATGGAGGAGGCAGGGTCAGGCTCCTACTCTCACTTTCACACCCACTTCCTGGCCCTGGAACCTTTGAGATTCCTGGACTCCAGACCAGCCAGGCCTGTGGAGCTGTTGAGGGGGAATAAGACGGAGAGTAAGTAAGAGCCTCAGACACTCAGAAGGCTTTTTAAATAAACATGTTGGGGAGGTGTGCTTGTGCTGGAGGAGGCTAAGGTTTGTAACTCAGCTGGAGATAGTCTAGCTTGACCTGGCCTCCCTGGGCTGCTTTGGAGTTGCTGCCTCAGAGCCAGGCCTGGGGTGGAAAAGGAAGAGTGGGTGGGGTTGTAGGGAGGTTACAGAGTTGGAAGCTGAGTTTCCCTGAGAGTAAAAAAAAAAACGAAACAAAACCCATTGCGAGTTGATTCCAACTCATACACCCTATAGGACAGGGTAGAACTGCCCCACAGAGTTTCCAAGGAGCGCCTGATGGATTCAAACAGCCGACCTTTTGGTTAGCAGCTGTAGCACTTAACTACTATGCCACCAGAGACTTGTTACCACAATGGCAGGTCTGAGCTGCCTGCTGCAGAAGCTGATACTGAGATGGGTGAGGTGAGCAGCAAGAGTGTTTTATTGTATATCGATATACAGGAGACAGAGGGAAATGAGCTCCTCCAAAAGACCTGTCTCCCCCCCCTTGGAGACTGGCTGAAAGTTTTTATATGGACCAGATTATAGTTTTTTTTTCCCGGTAGTTACATTCTGCACCTGGCAATCCTTGAAGGTCATCTTGCCCCGTTATTATCACGTGGCAGATGAGTTACTCTACCCTCCAAGGTCTTTCTACCTCTCAAAGAGAAACTTAGTTAAACTTCAAAGTCATGGGAAAGCAAGAGGGAGGGGATAGGAGGAAAACAAATCAAAATTATAGGAGCGTGCAAAAGTGAACTATGCAAGCTAGGCCATTAACAATACCACAGTACCCAGCAAGCTAGGCCTATAAACAATAAAAGTGAAATTTCCACGCAGCCCCTTTCAGACTGGCAAAAGGAGAGGGGATAGCAAGGAGAGAAAGAAGGTTCTTCCCTGCTGCCCTTCTAAGCCTGTTTCTCCTTGGACTAAGGGGAGATCCTGGTCCCTGCCCATTGTGGGTCTTGTGGGAGTAGAGAGAGGGGCCATATAGAAGTTATTCTACAGATGGTCAAAGCTGGCAATCCAACTACCCCTCCTCAGATTGAGGCCTGAGTGATGCAGGACTTTGGCCAAGGTCACACAGCTCATTAGTGGCAGAGCTAACCAGACAGAACTCTTTCTGTTACCCTCTGGATGTCCACATCTTCTCTCCCTTCTGGTCCAGCCCACCCTCACTGGCTCCACCCAAGTCCAGGCCCTGCGGTTGGGGTGGAGGTGGGCAGGGGCTGACTTTGTCATTTTCACCCACTTGGGGCACTTCTCAGAAACCCTGGTGGCTAGTGGTTAAGAGCTGAGGCTGCAGTGGCAAATTCACCAGGTACTCCTTGGAAACTCTATGGGGCAGTTCTACTCTGTCCTATAGAGTCACTATGAGTGGAGTTGGAATCAACTCATGGCAGTGGGTTTTTTTTGGGGGGAGGGAGCACTTCTCAGAGACCCTGGGTTTATGTAGGATGTGGGTGGGCGTGGGCCTGACTTGTAGTTAATGGGTCAAGCCCTTCCCTTTCTTTTTCTGCCTCCCTTCTCCCATTTCTCCATCATTTCCTCCTCGTTCTCTTCTGCTTGTGTGCGCGCGCATTTCTCTCTCACTTTCTGGCGCCTCCGAGGCCTCCTCGCTAGCCCCTAAATCACTCTGGCATCCTGGCTCTTTGAAGGAGGATCTGGGCCCCCTCCCCGCTCCATTCCCGGGCCGGGAGAGGCTGACAGGAGGGGAGGGGGCGGGGCAGCCAGGACCGGCTCCCTCCTGGAGCTAATTAGGGAAAATGGAGGAATGTCAGCGGAACGGAAGGGCTGGGGAGGGGACCAGCCTGGGGAACGAGAGAAGGAAATGGGCAGCTGCTCCTTCCCACCTAACCCTTCTCCCTGCCCGCCCTGCCAAAGGCCCTCATCTAAGAATTTGGGGCTTGAAACCGAGGCTGTAGAAACCTGAGAGCCGGAGTGTGGAGGCAGAGGACCGAGGCTCATCTCTCTTCTCCCCTTCTCTTATACCTGACCCCTTTCAGGCCGTTCTTTCAAAATATTTCCTGTCTCTGTTTCTCAATCCCTGGTTAGTGTCCCAGGATTACTCAGCCTCTCCGGCTTTAGTCACCCTCTCTGCCCGCTCCCAGGGTCGGGGGCGGGGGTGGCGTGTAGAGGAAGTTGGAGGAGGGGAGCTCGTCTCCCAGCAGGGCTGGAGCTGGGCTGGCTTTGCCCCGGGCTTTAACCCTCTCACCGCCAGAGGATTTCAGGGCCTCCAGCAGTGAGCCCATGTGAACTCTGACAGGAGTCAAAACTTCTGTTTTTCTCCCCCTTGACTCAGAGTTATGGCTGCTAACCAAAAGGTCGGCGGTTCAAATCTACCAGCTGTTTCTTGAAAACCCTATGAGGCAGTTCTACTCTGTCCTATAGGGTCACTATGAGTTGGAAGCCACCTGTGGCAATGAGCTTTTTGTTGTTTTTGACTCAGTCAAGGAGTGTGTAGGATAGCGATAGTGACATGCTGTATGGTAATGGTAATAATAATAATAACAACAGCTAATATTTATTGAGTGCTTGCCAAGTGCCTGGGCACTGGCTGAAACATTATCCCATTTAATGCTCACAAAAACTTTAGGAGGCAGGTACTTAAGTGCTTCTCAACCTTTAAGGTGCGTTCAACTCACCTGAGGATCTTGTTCAAATGCAGATTCTGAGTATCTGCATTTCCATCTGGCTCCCAGGCCTTGCTGGGCTAGGGCTAGAATTTGACCCTAGTTTCAGTGGGAAGTTGGGCTGAAGGCTCTCTCTGATGTCATCTGGCTCTAACACTCTGAGCCTATGTCTACATTGCACCTAAGATATCTGGTCCCTGGGATCATCGTCCTCTCAGCCTTATAGAACATGGCTCATTTGTATCTTCTCTCCAACTCCTTGATCCTCAGAGTCATAAGGTCCAAGCTAATGGTGGTACAGCATACACTTAGATACACTTAACCCTGAAACCCACTCTAACACATACTGGCTGGTATGGCCTTGGGCAAGTCTTTTGCCTTCTCTGAGCCTTGGTTCCCTTATCTGTAAAGAGGAACTAATACTATATACCTGGTTGAGTTGTTGTGTTGAGTTTAAAGGCGATCACGCATGTAAAAAAATCTAGTGGAGTGCTTGGGCACACAGTGGGCAGTCACTTGCTGTTATAAAATGAATATCTGAAAGAGCACCCTCTCCTATTTAGTAAAGAACTACTGTATACCTACTCTGTTCCAGCCACTGGTTGGAGAATGATGGGAACATGTGTAAGACATGGTCTCTGCTCTCCAGCAGTCCATAGTCGAGTGTGGAAGCCAGAGAGCCTCCCAAGAGAAGTCCCTTGAGAAGGGCTGGGGAAAGGATTTGAGAGCCAGTGTCGGTATGAGTAGGAGTCAACTCGACGGCAACAGGTTTTGTTTTGTTTTGTCTCAGCCCTCAGAAAAATAGTAGCTAGCATGTTCTGAGCACTTACCATGAACCAGACATTATTCTAGGTGTTTTACACAAATGATCTAACCCTCACCAAAACCAGAAGTAGATACTATTATCTCCATTTCACAAATCAGAAAACTGAGGGGGCATGGGAAGGTTAGGTAGACTTACCCAGGATCACATAGTTAATAAGTAAAAGAGGTTAGGAACCAAACCTAGGTGAGAAGCTCCAGAGGTTCTTAACCTCTACCCTCATCTACCCTCATCACTTTGTGGATACAGACTGCTATGATGACCACTGTATTCCGAGTGCTCAGTATGTACAGAGTCCAGGATACTTTGTAAGCATTCATTAACTACATTTCTAACTGTTGAGGACCCTAAGTTTAGCCCTAATCTTCCTTTGTCTCTGCAGAAGCTGCTGATGGGAGCTCCACCCTGGGAGGGGGCGCCGGCACCATGGGCTTGAGTGCCCGATATGGGCCCCAGTTCACTCTGCAGCACGTGCCCGACTACCGCCAGAATGTCTACATCCCTGGCAGCAATGCCACACTGACCAACGCAGCTGGCAAGCGGGATGGCAAGGCTCCGGCAGGTGGCAATGGCAACAAGAAGAAGTCGGGCAAAAAGGAGAAGAAGTAATGTGGAGGCCAGGCCTGGAGCCACAGGGCAGCCTCCCTCCCCACCCGTCCAGCCTCTCCCTACCTGTACCCAGGCCTCAGAATTTCAGGGCTACCCCCACGATGCTGGTAGGGGCCAAGGCCATGCTCCCCTTGGGAAATAGAAATAAGTGCCCAGTCAACATCCCCCTCTCTGCCCCCAGGGGGTTGAATATGCAAAGGGAGTTCGGCTGAGAACTCCTATCTAATCAGTCGCTGTGCCCAAGGGGGTGGTGGGGTTAGTGTAGAAACCTAGAACCATTTATCACACCCCCTTTAGTTACAGCTGAACTCCTCCATCTTCCAAATTCAATCAGTCCATACATCCCCTGCTTCCCTCCTCCCTACCCCACTCCACCCTACTTCTTCAACAGCTCCTCTCTTGAGTAAGATGGTTGAGTTACTGAGGTACCAGGTGACCTAAAAAGGCTCATAGTTCTGAAGAGCTGGAAGGGCATTTTGACCTCTTGGCCTCTCCAACTCTCAAACTTCCCCCAAAGCATGGTTTGGTGCCAGTTCTTCACCTCCTTCTAGAGCCTGAGACCAAGCTCAAGTTTTCGGGGACATGGTCACCATCCGCATGGTACCGATGTGTGCTGGATTTAGGGAGGGCATTTTGCTACTAAGCCTCTTCCCAACTCCCTGGGGACCAGTCTTTTGTTTTTCATTGTTTGGTGTTCCCACTGCATGCTGTGACCTCCCCACCCCTTCTCCAAACAAGAGACTCCATTGCATGTTCCAAGACAGTATGGGGTAGTAAGATGAAGAAGGAAAGGGTGTGTATGTGGATGGGGGAGAGGGGGAGGAATGGACAAAGCTTGACCCATCAGTTAACAAGGTCCTACAGGAGACTGTGTATATCCCCAGGGCACTGACCAGGTCCCCAGATTCCACCATAAACCAAGCACCATGCTGGAACCCCACTCCCACAAATAGGGCTCACCCCAGGCAGCAAACTTTGGGTTGAGCTACCAGGACCAATGGAGTTAAACTGGCATTACAGTCCAAGAAAGTTCTGAATGAGTGCAGGACCAGGTCCCCTGGAGAGGTGAGGGGCCTCTGTGGGTGCTGGGTACTCCAGAGGTGCCGCTGGTGGAAGGGTCCAGTGGTGCCCCAGCAGGGAGGGGGTCCAGTTAGGTCATTCTTGGTCTCTGGGTTGGGGAGACAAGGAGCAAGTGAACAGAAAATCTCAGCCCAGAGTTGGGACTTCTCCACAGTGCCCCTGCACTCCCCAGGGTTCCTCACCTTGCCAGGTGCCATTTCTTCTCTGTGAAGGCCCCTGTCCAGGCCCCCAGTCCACCCCCAAGTGGCCAGAGCCTGGTTAAAGCCCCCAGTGCCTCCTTGTGTATAGACCTTCTTCTGCCCTCCCCCTTCTGGGTCCTGTTCATCCAGCGGGGCTGCTAGAGAACCCCACCCTAGCCTTTACAATAGTGTAGAGCCCCCTTCCTCTTCCGGCTGGTGTAGAATAGCCAACAGTGTAGTGCGGTGTGCTTCTTACGTGATGGCGAGCGGGCAGCGGGCGGCCGGCCCTGCGCAGCCGTCTGTCCTTGAACCTGCCTACCGCAGCCTGTGCTGTGTTTTGTGCTGTGTCCACGCGCTGCGGCGACCCCCTCCCCTGTACTGACTCCTTCTATAAGCGCTTTCTTCGCATAGTCACGTAGCTCCCCACCCCACCTCCTTCCTTTGTCTCCCGCCAAGTTTTATACTCTAATATTTATATGGCTTTTTTTCCTTTAAAAAAATAATAAAATGGTTTCTTCTGAAAGGTCGAACGTTTCTGTGTAGAGATATGGAGGCTCCTGGTATATATGTGGATGAAGTGATGAGCTAAAAGGTGTGTGATGCAAGGGAGGGGACCAAGGTGATGATTGTGTTTGCGACTTGGTTTTGTGTCATTGCGTGTCTAGATCTGTTTCTGAATTGTGTAGGTGTGTTGCAGTATGTGCCTGTGAGTTCTCTATATGACTGTCAGACGTGGCTGTGAAAGCTTGCAATATTGTTATGCATATGTTACAGTGTGCGATTGAATCTGTATACTATTGTGTGGAATCGGTTTGCGGGTCCGTTGTGGGGGTGGGGATTTTTGAGTACGGCGTGTCACTGTGTAATTGAGTGTGCAGTTGCATGCTTGCGGCTGTCTCGGTCATGGTTCTAAGGGGCCAGTCTCCAGGCAGAAGAGGCGATCCTGGCGCGGGCCGGGGCGAGCTGGCGCCGGGAAACAGCACTGGTACTGGCGGAGGGTTGCCCTAGTTCCCGCCCCTTCCCGGCTAAAATTACCTCCCCGGAGCTCCTTTGCGGGCTTCGCAGGAGGAGGGTGAACTCTCTCTCCTTTGCCGGTCCCCTTCCCGTCCCCTTCCCGTCTCCGCTGCCTAGGAGTTTTGGGAATACTGCGGGATTCTCTGTAGCTTGGGCCTCAGTTTTCCCATCTGAAATTCGCCTTCTCGCTCACTTCACCGCAGCGAAGACAAGGAAGTTGGAAGATCCATTCTTTTCTTGCAGGGGTCAAGGAGACTGAAAGGGCGTGCAGGAAATCAGATTGCCCACAGACACAGGACCCTCTCCCCTTCCTCTCTTTGGTGCTTTTCCATTCACCCTTGGGCTCTCCCATCTCCCTGCCGCCTCCACCTGCCTCCTCGAAGCACAGTGGGATTCCGAGGTTACTACAGCCTGGGAGAAGCTGCGGACAATAAGGAGGGGGAAGGAAGATGGGAGGGGTGGAAAGAAATACGTGGGTCACCAGGGGGTCGGCGAGAGGACGCCCGATCACAGGGCGGGAGGCGGCTGTCTCTGGGCTTATTCTGCGCAGCAAGCCTCAGAGCTCAGTCACCGCTCCTCCCTGCTCTCTGTTGTCATGGAAACCAAGCCTTCCAATTAAACATCCGGGGCGAGTTTCTTGCGTGGGAAGGAGGGTGGCGCGCAGTTGCCGAGATCAAAGCAGGGGTTTCTGAGTCGGGCTGCAGAGGGGTGGGGTGCCGGGGTGCCTGGGTTCTATTCCTGGCAAGGCTGCAGACTGGCAGAGCGCATAAGCAGCTGCTGTTGGTCCCCTAATTGGTATGTGTGCCCATAAAGCTCTGAGCCAGAATCGTGTGGCCCCTACATCTCCGGCCATACTGGGGAGGCACCTGCCTAGGCTCCAGGCAGGGCTATTTAAAAGGCTTTTATCTCTAGCTCCAGTGCCTGCCCAGATGGATTTGTGGTCTTCTCCACGTCCCTCCCTGTCTATCCTGGGCCGGCTCACTGGGTTTTCGTTTTTTTTGAATTTTGAAAATATGGCTTTGTTTCATTTTATGTTTTTTTTTAATTGTACTTTAGGTGAAGGTTTACAGAATAGTTTCTCATTAGACAACAGTCAGTACACATATCGTTTCATGACATTGGTTAACAACCCCACGACATGTCAACACTCTGTATCTTCTCGACCTTGGAGGACCTTTTTTTTTTTTTTGGTGAAAATATACATAGCCAAGATACACCATTTCAAAAATTTCTACATGTACAGTTCAGTGACATCCATTACGTTCTTCCAGTTGTGCTGCTATTCTCACTATCCTTTTCCAAATTATTCCATCACCATTGTCTTCAACTCACTGTCCCCTATGCTTCCCATCAAACCTTTTGAGTTGCTGTTGTCAATCTGATCTCACATAATTTTTTTGTTTTGTACTTTAGATGGTTTACAGAATAGTTTCTCAGTTAGTACAGATATTGCCCTATGACAATTGGTAACCCCATGACATGTCAACACTGTCCTTACTCAACCTTGGGTTCCCTATCACCAGCTTTTCTGTCCCCTCCTGCCTTCTAGTCCTTGTCCCTGGACTTCTGTGCCTCATTAGTCCCATTTTGTCTTATGGGGCTGTCCAATCCCTGGCTGGTGAACCTCGGAAGTGCCTTCACCACTGAGCTAAAGGGGTGTCCGGGGGTGCTCACTGCTTTTAAGGTTTCTTTGTGCAGATCACAACATGCTCAGACAAGTACAGCTCTGAGCAGCATAAATCATCTGGAGTATGACCTCCGTCTTCTGACCTCTGCTGAGCAGGCTCAGGTTTCCGCTCCAGCGTAAGCCCCTCTAGTCAGGAATGTGGTCTGTGGCTGCTAAATGAATGGTGGGGATGGGAGAATGGGAGACAGATGCTTCTCTCAGCCAAAGAGGCACTGATACTGCCAGGAAACTGTGACATCTGGGGAATGGGGAAGTGAGGAGTTAGAACTGAGTTCAAGAAAAGGGCTCCAAGCCAAGAGGCAGCAATGTGGATGGACAAGGGAGCTGACCTGGGCTCCGACTCCTTTTTGGAGGTCAAAAGCCCTATGGTGCGCTCTGGTGGGGCAGAAGCCACCGTGTATTAATTATCTCTGTAGCCCTGTGCCCAAGCATAGTGTCTGGCACATGATGGGCACCTTAAAATTTTTTGACAATGATTTGTCAGGTCAACCAAGAGTGAGGGAAAGAGTAGAGGAACCTGGGCCAGACTGAAAAGAAAGTAGCTCAGAAATTCACAAAGAAGGCTGTAGGCGGTACTGTTTCAATGCTTTATTAACAGTTGGAAACAAACCCAACAAACTGGAGGTGATGACATCCCAGAAGCCCAAGAGGCGCGGGAAATAGGTTTGCATTTTGTCCCTTTTTTATTATTATTAAATGCATCTTAGCAAAAGTAGATTAAAAAAGAAAGGGTCGAAGCCCCAGGTGTCAGCAAGAAGGGAGAAAGAGGGGACCAACAGGCCCCCTGTACCACAGTCTTCCCGGGAATAGCTCCAAGGAGCTGCTGCAGCCCATTCATACACAGGCTCAAGCATGTTGGAGTGGCCTAGCAACCAGAACCCTTTTTCCTGGCCCCAAGACCTCCCTGTAGTCACCCTTAAGGCTCCTAGGCTTCCCTTTGCTCTAACAACTACAATTCTGGGCCAAGCCCTAAGAGTGCCATTTTCTCTCACCTATCTGGGAGTGGGAAGCTGAAAAGGACACAAGGAGAGCAAAAGTGTCACCCTGAGCCAGAAAATCTGTGCTTCCTGTGGCTGGGGCCACTGGACAGTTGGGCCTGCCCACTGTTCAGACAGGAGTGGGAGTACAATGTGCGGGGGCACTCCCTGTGCCCACTTCCCCAGAGTGTCCAGTTAGCATTTGCACATTTGGCTTCATAAATATATTAAATTTATAAAAGCCCTGTGGTCTTAGAGCTCACGCTACTCCTAGGCCTGGCCCAGCTCAACCAGAGAAGAGGTTCCTCCTGCGCCAGAACTGATGCTGGGAGAGAGAGTCTGCCTTGGCCTTAAGAGTCTGGAAGGCTTGAGGGCTAAAGTGGAGACCCAGGGCCTTGTTCAGGACTGAGGCCTGTGGCGAGAAACCCCAGAAACTCTGGAACCTGCCATCAAAGCCTCTTACATTATGGAGAGGAGAGGGGGAGAGAAGAGATAGTTTCCTTAAAAAAAAAAAAAAAAAAATCTCATATAAAAATAGATCCATTTGCAAAACAATTTCTCAGCCAGGAGGCTCCACCTCCCATTTCCTTGGAGATACAGAGGGTGAGGTGTTAGGATGGTCACAATACAGCCACACTCCAGATGAAACACACCAAAGTGCTAGGCAGAGAGTGGGGAAGAGTCTCGGCTCAGTAGCCCAGGGGCTGGTGCAGAGGGTCGAGGCAGGGCATAAAGCAAAAGCAAGGTAGCAGGCTGGGAGTGGGTCTCACACTGTCTCTGGGCCCTGCCTGCCTGCCTACAGGCTCTGGCCACAACTGAACAGGAAAAGTGGTCCAAATCCTTTCTTGTTTTGGGAGGCCTTTCCCAGGAAGGTGGGGATAAGGGTGAGATTTGCTCTGCCTTCCTTAGAAGTAGCTCCCAATGCCACACTACTAGTAATAAATAACAACCAGGAGAGGGAAGAGAAAGAGCAGAGGTGACAGCAATTAAAATAGGGACATAGCCCAAAGGTTCACAAGCCCCACGCTGTTCTTAGGGTCAGAGAAACCGCAAAAGAAAAGCACAAATCCGGCAAAACTGACCTAGGAAAAGCCCACTGGAAAGTCAGGGGCTGAGGAAGCAGGCTGGGCCTTGTCTGAGGTAAGGCCTCAGAGTAACAGAGACAGTTAGGGTTAAGGCAGCAAACACAGACCCTGCTTTGGTAATACGACACCCAGGGCTGGCTGGGTTGGACTCAAGCCTCCCCCACACTGCCTTTTTCTCCTGGCCTCAGGGCAGCTGAAGCTGTATGTGATGTACAGAGAGCAGCAGGCCAGAGAGAAAGACAGGGTCAGGGTGGTTAGAGTGGCCACCCCAGAGCAATGTCCCCTTGACCCTTTAGGCACATGCTGCAGGGCAAGACAGTCTGGGCTTCTGCTGAGGAGCGGCTGTGGCCACAGGACGCAGCTTAGCTTGCACGGCCAACCAACTCCTTGGTTTCCTCCAGGATTGTGGAGACTCCCTCACTGTTCTTGGGTATCTTGGCAGGAACAGCAGTCATGGCATCGTCCTTGGTCAGCTCCAAGGCTAGCAGAGACGTGACTGCACACCCAGCCTTCCTGTTGGCTGCAAGAGAAGACATAAGAGATCTCGTCCATAGAAGGCCTCGTTTCTAATCCCTTTCGAACTCTACAGTAGATATGTAGCCAGAAGCCATGCAAACATTCCTGTCCTGTCCAGTTCAGAGGCCCTGACTTTGAAGGAGATCCAAGAACATGTGGAATATGCCCTTGGATGGCAGAGAATGGAAGAGTGTTGTGGAGGCAGGAGAATAAGTCTTGCCCTTGTTTCCCTCTGTGAAAATAATACGAAGATTTGAATACAGCTAGACAGACAGAGCTGGGTTCAAGCGTTAGCTATGTGACTTAGAGAGAGATGAAGTACTCAGGGCCTCGGTTTTGTCATCACAGGGTTGCTGAATTAAATAGGCTAAAGCTTAGTACACAGTATTATGTTTGCTTTCTTGGCAGTTCCCAGGAAGCTCCTAAGCCAAACACTTCCAGTCAGTTCCAGGAAGGGTTGTCCCTAGCAGAGGAAGGCCTTCTGGGGGGACTCAGACTGCTGGGAGGACTCCTGCAAAGAGGAGCAAGCCGAGCTCTGACATCACATGCATATCACACTCTTAGGTGCTCCACCTGCTCCCCCACCCCAGATGCCCACATGCCTAGCTCTTTCCCATCTCTTCAAGGGTAGCAGCTGCAATACAAATGTGGTAGAAATGTATAGTGTATGGAGGGTAATGAAAAGTATGTCAGGGAAGGCAGAGCTAGGATCAAGGATAGCCAGAGGAGGCCTCTACAAAGAAATCTCAGCCCAATCGCCTAAGGCATTGTGAAGGTCCAGTTCTCATCCCAAATAGAAGAGAAGAACCAATCCATCCATTAGTTACTGCTCTAACTGCTGGGATCCATTCTTAAGACTCTCATATTCATTTACGGAATCCAGACTTATGGTCCTGGTATCCTCAATAGGAAGATGGCTCCTTGAGACTATGCCCATCTCATGCTGTCTGCCTCTTTCCATGGCCTAGAAGCAGCACAGAGAGACTATGTGTACACACAGAACTCCCTGGGGTGAAAGAAGCCAGAACAAAAGACTACATATGGTAATGATTCCATTTGTATGAAATGTCCAGAACAGGCAAATCCATAGAGACAGAAAGTAGATTAGTGGCTGCCAGGGGCTGGAGGAAGCAGAGGATGGTGAGTGACTGCTAAATAGGTATGGGGTTTCTTTTTGAGGTAATACAAATGTTTTGGAATTAGATAGTGAAAATGGTTATACAACTTTGTGAATATACTAAAAAACACTTAATTGTACATTTTAAAAAGGGTGAATTTCGGGTATGAGAATTATATCTCAACTAAAAAAAAAAAGCTGCCTGGGGACATGAAAGCTGGAGTGGGGAAAGCAGTGCCTTAAAGAAGCAGGAACAGATCAAAGAAGTCTGTTGTTAGCTGGCGATTCATCGCGACCCCATGTGTGCAGAGGACAACTGCTCCATAGGGTTTTCCAGGCTGTGACCTTTCAGAAGCAGATCGACAGGCATGTCTTCTAAGGTGCCTCTGGGTGAGTTCAAACCACCAACCTTTCAGTTAGTAGTCGAGTGGTTAACCACTCGGGCCACCCAAGTCACCCTCAAAGAAGCCTACAAAAAAACACAAAAACCTGAACCCGTTGCCGTGGAGTCGATTACAACTCATAGCAACCCTAACAAAACAGAATAGAACTGCCCCATAGGGTTTCCAAGGAGTGGCTGGTGGATTTAAACTGCCAGCCTTTTGATTAGCAGCCCAGCTCTTAACCACCTCACCACCAGGGCTCCCAAAGAAGCCTAGCACTCCTAAACAAGCACTGCAGGACTGGAGTAGCTGTGGGACATGAGCAAGAAGGAAGAAGAGGTCCAGAGGAGCCAGTGAACAAAGGGCCCACAGATCCCTTGCCTTCTCTGGACCAGCCATAAGCTTTGGGTAAAGCAGAGCCAAATGATATCAGAGAGCCCAAGTCTCCACATGGCTGTCAGCCTCCCTGCAGTGTCTGCTTTCACACCAGCAGAGGCTACACACAGGTCAGGCAGGGAGCACACAGCATACCCACAGGTTACCAATTTCTAGGTATCCTCCTCCTCCTCCTCCTCCCAGGGACACAAGAGATTATCTAACAAGAGGAGAAAGAATAGTGAAGACCCTGACTGATAATCACAAGGACTTATCTGGTTATAGATCTAAGGTATGTGACCTAGACTCTGGGAATTTCACAGAAACTACTCCTGGGATTATGAATACATAATACAGTGAAACCCATATGAGCCAGAACTGTCTTGTCTTTCCAGGCCTCACAAGTTGTCCGCCTTTGACATGGTGCAGTCTTACCACTTTTCTATCACTTGTTTTAGTGAAAAATATTTGTGTTTTCCTTCTGACAGGTTTCTGCCTTACATACATTTCAGCTTTTGCAGGTTTTATTGTATTGTCTCAGTGACTGACAGGCAAAAAAAAGGAGCCCACTTGGGGTGACATCTACATATATTATGTTTTTCCTAGTCTCTCTTCCCCTGCTAAATCTTCCTCAGACCCACTTAGTTTCCTCTCTTTTCTAGGACCCTGCTTCTCATGGCCAGAACAGCAGTGGCTTGATATCACCTTACTGTTCCTTTGAATTCAGTCTCCAGCAGTTGAGAAAATACTGCAACTATTTACGTGTGTCTGTGTGTGACTCTGGGGGTACATATGTGTGTGAAATAACTACTGGCTCCAAAACCAAAAAACCAAACCCGTTGCTGTTGAATTGATTCCGACTCATAGTGACCCTATAGGACAGAGTAGAACTGTCCCATAGAGTTTCCAAGGAGTGCCTGGTGGTTTCGAACTGCCAACCTTTTGGTTAGCAGCCATAGCACTTAACCATATGCCACCAGGGTTTCCGCTGGCTCCAGATCCTGGGAAAAAGCACACTGGATCTTTAAGGGACACTTGTGCTGTGCAACACAGAACATGTCAGAGTTCAAGTGTGGCCTGTCTTAAGCTGTTTTTCTCTGAAGAAGCTCTCTAAACTAAGATACCATTGTACCCAATCAAGCAGTGCTTCTAGATTTTCTAGACTCAAGAAGATTCTGATGCATTACAGATTTTCTAAAAAGCAGGAGTGGGTGATAGTTGGGGAGAAGACCAAAACTTCCCTTTTAAGCCCAAAGAGTAGGTATACTAGAGATGAATATGATATGGTCTAGGGTAGGAGGTAAGAAAGTTCTTGTTGGAACTGGCAACAGAATCAACAGAATCTAAGAATCCTGGCTACTACTCTACCTCCACTGCCACAGTTATGCTCAGAAGCTTGCTAATCAAGAAAAAAATGACCTCTCCCCTCCTTTCCCTAACTTGGGTACTTGTTAAGACTATTGAAAAGGAGCCACAGAACCAGAGAAATATTTTGACTATATGGGATCATGGAGGATTATTAACTCACAAAACCTTGGGGAAAAGGAAACAATCTTGAGACACTGATCAAAGCCCTCTGAGGACAGATTCTTGGAAGTTAGGGGTGGACTAGGATTAAAAACACCAGCAAAATCAACCATACAGTACCACTACAGCTGATTTAGAAAAAGGTTAATGATTTGGAAAAGTACTTTAATAAAACACAGGATAGGAACTACTACTAAAGAGGAAGTGCTCTTGTTAATAAGCTTCCTTAGGGAACAGGAAACTAGGACAGATGGGGCAATCATTACCATCCTAAAAACTCTTTATTGGCTAAGACTCTCCTAATTAGAATTCCTGTCCTATTTTAACAAAAAGGGTGGGGTGGGGTGGGGTAGGAGGAGGATGTGATGGTATAGGAAACATTGTTATCAACCTTCTCTAGACAAGCGGTCATCAGAAAGCCTCCCTGAGGCAACTGCATTATGTCCAGGACTCTCTTTCCCCGAAGGTGTGAAAAAATATCTGGCCCATATAGAGAGGTCACTGTCATCTCCTGTCCAATCATATAAGTTTAGTGGAAATAGCCCTGGACCTGGATTCACCAAAGTGGGCTACAGTTTTGGTTCCATCAGTAACCAGCTATGTAGACCTGGACGAGTCAATTATCCTATCTGGGTCTTAATTCCTTTTACCTTTGGAGCCCTGGTGGTGCAGTGGTTAAAGAGCTAGGCTGCTAACCAAAAAGTCAGCAGTTCAAATCCATCAGCCCCTCCTTGGAAACCCTATGGGGCAGTTCTACTCTGTCCTGTAGGGTTGCTATGAATTGGAATCGACTTGATGACAATGGGTTTGTTTTGTTGTTTTGTTTTGTTTTGAAGAGGCCAGGAGGTGCAGTGGTTAACCGCTTGGCTGCTAACCAAAAGGTTGGTGGTTCTAACCTACCAGCTTCTCACAGCAGGAGAAAGATGTGGCAGTCTGCTTCTGTAAAAACTTCAGACTTGGAAACCGAATGGGGCAGTTCTACTCTGTCCTACAGGGTCGCTATGAGTCAGAATCAACTTGATGGCAACAGGATGAAGATGCTTATGCTAATCACTAGATGTCTTTAAAGTCTTTCCCACATCTAAGTCATATTAGTGTTGGTGGAGTTTACAGGTAAGCTGGGAAGGGGTAGAGAGAAGGAAAGGCAGAGAGGGATGAATTTCTTTCTTCCCTTAACTTTTATCCCAGTGAGCAGATGGCCTGTATACAAGAGACCACAATTCAGACATGGAGATAAAGTTGAGTCATTAAAACCACAAGCTGACTCAATCATCAGCCTGAAATACTAGCTGTAATACAATCACATGGATTCTTCCCCTTGACACTCAAACCATTATTCTCCCACACCCTGGAGATCATAGCAGTTTACATGTTGGTTTTAATGAACCAGCCCTGATAGTAACCCTCCTCTTCCAACTCCTCAATGGATCTTTGTATACTGGTCACTCCCTCAAGTCTCCAGAGACCAGAAGTTTTTTTTTCTTTTTTTTTTTTTTTAAGCATTCCTTTAAATTCTAGGGAAAATGCTGGTGCTTTGAAAAGGGACAGCTGCCTCTTTGGGAATGAGGGGGTCTGTGAGGCAGATATGCTGGGAGTGCTTAAAGCAACCAGCCAGGAGGGACAGTCAGAGACAGCCAGGCAACGGGTGGAACAGCTAAGTCTAGTAGTCACCATAGAAACCCACAGCCACTTCAACCTTTATATTTTGAGAATGGGCTTTCTGGGTTCAGCCATTTTGTTTTCTTTACCTCTTAATCCTGTTATTACCATACCAAACAAGCAAAACAAAAACAAACACAAAAACCTGTTAGAGCTGGAATGGACCCTAGAGACCACTCTAGACCAACTCTCTCATTTTATACATGAGGAAATTGAGTCTCAGGAACACTGACTTGCCTAAGGTTAACAGACAGCACCAGAGCTAGACTTGAATTTGGGTCTTTTGATCCCTACCTAATCCTACGCTCACTGAACTTCACTGTTGCCGTCAAGTCACTTCCAACTCCTAGCGACCCTGTAGGACAGAGTAGAACTGTCCCACAGCGTTTCCAAGGAGCGGCTGGTGGATTCGAACTGCCAACCTTTTGGTTAGCAGCCAAACGTTTAACCACTGCACCACCAGGGCTCTCTGCTTTACATAATGTGAATGCCCCAAGGTCTAAAGAGCTTACCTGAGTAACTAGAAATGTCACCCCCAAGACAGTCTCCAGATATGTTCAGGTGTGTTTAGTGAACCCAGAGTCCAAAAAGATAAAGTTACAGGTTGGAGCCAATTTAAAAAATGCATAGTTCTCATTTTCACCTTCTTTTCACTTCAATATCTCCTATTATGTCTCACATACTTTGGACATGCTATCAGGAGGGATCAGTCCCTGGAGAAGGACATCATGGTTGGTAAAGTAGAAGACCAGCAAAAAAGAGGAAGACCCTCAATGAGATGGACTGACACATTGGCTACAACAATGGGCTCAAACCTAGCAATGATTGTGAGGATGGCAGTGTTTCATTCTGTTGTACATGGGGTTGCGATGAGCTGGAACTGACTTGACGGCACCTAACAACAACAACAATCTCCTATTGTAAGCCTCCTCCTATTCCCTCTTGCACTGGGAGACAGCAGTTTGACTAATTTTGGTTCTCTGCTGAAAGGTTAGGTTCCAACAAAATCCCTGTTTCCTCTGCCTGCAAGTCCTGGAAGAAGGGGAGAATGGGGCCTTCCCAGCAGAGGGAAGCCACTGATGTCTGGCTGCCTGTGTACAGGAAGCATCTGGGATTCTAGTACCACAGGAAGAGGCTTAAAAGGGAATTCCCCAACAAAAAGTCTGAGCTGAGTGGGTTGTGGAAAACAGTGAGATGCAACATACTTTCAATTGGCTAGAAATGCTTAATGTAAGGCCACACTGCCTTATATGGTGGGTAGGAAACAATGTCTCAAGAACCTTTGAAGACTGAACACAAAAGAAATACTAGTTATACTTTCTACCCAAATATCTATCTGTAAGACCAAACTGTTTATCCCAGAAAGTTCTCAGCCCATCATACTTACCTCTTCTCCCTTCTAGAGATCCTGTACTGAAAGAATGCCAGAAAATGGACAAGAATTGTGACTAGGGAGTCTTCTGTTTAGGGAAAGTTCTAAAGTTATACAGAAGAGGACTCAGAAGGGAATTTCCCTCTGGGTATTCAGAGTATGAATACAGATACATTATAGATGAAACTCATAGTGATCTGCAACTTTTGGGCCAAGATCCTGAGTTTATGTGGGTTAGCTTGATCCTAAGGTCCCCTTTTCAGGCTGTGACAGGTACTATCTCGGTCTTACCACTGTGTCAAAGTAAGCTGCAAAACTCTTTCTCTTTAAAATAACCTCTTATCAAACAGGTCTAGAGAGTTAACCAACCAGAGAATAGGAACATAGCTTTAACTTAAGTAAAGCAAGAAACCCCAGGGCTTAATGGTACTTTTCTGTAACTCCCACACTTCAACCTAGGAAAGAAGCCATCATTACTAGCCCCAAAGGGCCTTCGCCAGACACAATGGTGCCGGTGAACCCCATCTGAGGGTAGCCTTGGCTGTTCTTTCTTTTGGACCAGCCTCTTGGTCACTACACATTTTCCTTAAAGGAAATTTATCCATTGATCCTGCCCTATACTAATGCCTGGATCATTTGTCCTCCTGTCCCCATAATTCTCGTTACAAGCTCTGGCTCAAGGTAATCCGTTTAAATCTTCCAAAGATCAGGAGAGGACGTTGCAGGGGAGGAAGTGGGAGAAGGCGAAGACAGTGGAGGCTAACAGCTCCTGAGAAAAGGTGGTTTTCAGACAGCACAATCCTCCAACTGAGATGTTCCTCTACATTCTGACATCTGGGGATAATGGTGCTTAGCCTTCTCTATAGGATTTTATACTTTCTATTATTAGGTCTCTCTCTATATCTTTTCTGCTTGTGAACTTGAGAGTAAGACTCTGACCTACATTTTCTTTGTACCTCCTACATCTAGGGTACAGTTTTGTATTTAGATTCATTTATGTACATCAATAAACACCCACACCTTGTGTCCTGCAGCATGGCCCCTTGCTCCAGGTTTCTTAAGAACAGGGAGAAATCAATGTAACTGGTTTGCTGTAAGTCTCTCAAGCTCTAGTTCTCCTAGTCAGTAGATACTTTCTAACATGGGAGGAACAGGAGCAGATAATCCACTCTAGATGCAGAACACTATTGTGGTAGAAGATTCTAAATCCTTAGGGCAGCGTTTGCTGTTCTTTAGCCCAAAACTAGCAGGACCAGGAGCAGACGAGCTTCACCTCCTTTAGCATTTAGCTGGGCTCCAGTGACTACTTACCCTGACGAGGTCCTCTCTTCCGACGGAATGCTGCGCCTGACTGCAGGGCTTCTAGAAGACTGTCCATCACACCTGTCTCATCGCCCTCTGTCATGAACAAAGATGGAGATGTAAACTCTTCAGCCTGAGCAGCCCAGAAAGCATCAAGCTCCCCAAAGAATGCATGGCTATTGCTTGGCTTCCCCTCACCCGTAGTGACTGGCAGCTAGGCTTCTCCTTACCTGTAGTGACTGGCAGCTAAGACCAGGCAAAGAGGGCTCAACCTCAAGTCTCAGAGGCCCATGTTTACTTATGTCTGTTTAGAAATGATTGAAACAATGGATTTCATAGCCTACTGTCAATGCAAACCTTGGGATATTTTCCTGCAGGGTCCAGTGACCCCCTCTCTCCACCCCAATCAGGACTAGCACACAGAATTGCAGAATTACCCAACTCTAAGACCAACCTAAGTAAAGAAAATGGGATTATGAAACTAATAAGCAACTACTACTGCCTCTTTATGGTAAAATATTTCACTCCAGTTTACATAATGGAGAGCCTTGTTCGGGTTTCAGAGCAGGGCTGAGGAAAGATGAGAGACCATTGATAACAAGTGCATTTCACTTAAGTGCTGCCTCCAGTGGCTACATCTTCCTGAAACCAGCTATACATGTAAGAGGAGCATCCTGGATAGAATACAAAGAGTTAATGTAGAATTCTTGCTCCAGCCAGGCTCGGTTTCCATGGCAACAGCTCAGGGTGGTGAAATCTAAAACTGTGAAATCCCTAGGAGCCCGCTGGCTGCCAGCTTTAAGGCGGGGGCTCACTGCTCCTGGTGCCACCTGCTGGCTGAACATCACCAGTGCAACTGACCTACATTCTAACCTCATTTGCTTGCCCTGGGGACTGGGGACAGGGCAAGGTCCAGTACGCCACCTGTTGACTGGGTGCAGCCCTCATCCCACATGTCAGCTGGATTTCACCTTTTCCCACTGCATCCTAGACAGTACCTGGGGTAAACCCTGGAGGCCTAGGGTATGAGGGACAGTGAAAGATACTTGGTGTGAGCTTTACAGCATTACTAGAACAAAGTTTGTGGCTGGGTAAGGGCAGGGTAATTGCTTCCCAGAAAAGTATACAGAAAAGAAAGAAATGCAGGCAGCTTCCTTAAGGCTCAAGATCCTGGTCTATGGGAGCACCACAGAAATTGCCAAAGAAAAGGTCTTGGAAGCAAGAGGTGCTAGAGCAGCCCTTGCCTTTTGTGCTCAGCAGAGTGCTGTGATTCTTGCCAGACCTGGCAGCCCTGAAAATCCCTTCACTTGCAGAAAGCTCACGGCCCCTCAGGTTCAGGGAAGGGTGGCATCAGCTCAGTGCTGTAAGCCATATATGCTGTATTTCCGCTGCCCAGAGAGAGAAGGGGGGGGAGGGGATAGGGAATCAGCAGCAGGAAAGAAGCTGAGACAGGAAACAGAGGGCCAGTAATTGAGACCATATGCTTCAACAAAGGCATGCTTCTGGTAGTGAAATAAGAGATTCTGCTGGAGAAAGAGGGTGGCCAGCTCCAGTCCCTCCCCTCCAGAAGTTCAATCCATTTACACTCTTACAGGTGTGACAACTGTACTAAGGTACTGGAGACACAGTACTTAGTGAACTAAGCAGAAAGGGCGGGCAATTCACCATTAAAAAATGAGAGAGGGGCCAGGAAAACATTTTGGGGAAAAGAATGAAAGCTTTAGCAGAGGGTATGAGAACAGGCCAGAGGAACCTTTAGACAGGCAGAAGGAGAGAGCACATGTTACAGCAATACTAAACTCACTGGGGAGATGAGACACAATACAAGAACCAGCAAAAGAGAGAAAAAAAGATTTTAGCATGGAAATTTAAGAGTATGCATGTAACTGATTTGGGGTTAAAGTCCAGCATCAGGATATTAGAAGGCTGCCAAAAATTACTTGCCAGGAGTTGAGCTCAGACACGAGCTATTCTCTCTGGTCTCTAAATTCTAGACAGAGAAGCCTTCCAAATGTTCCTGCCTCAATCCATCTGCTCTTCTTCACTACTTACCTGCATTCATGTCTATGAGTTGCTCTCTCTTCTGCTGCTTCTCCAGCCGCTCCTTCTCTGCCTTCTCCTTGGCTAGTTTTGCTCGCCGCATCTTTTCCTCTGTCTCCCGCCGCTTCTGGTTCTCCTTGACTGCTTGCTGTGGGGGGAAAAATGAACACATGGGAATGTGTACACCCACACATACCCACACTCACCAACATGAGCCCAGTGGAGAGTGAGAAATATCCACAAAAGATTTAGTCACCAGGTACCCTTGCTCACCAAAAACATATTCTTAAAGTTGTGCAGGTCCATGAAGAATTCTTCCACAGACACTTTCTTGGGGTCAAAGAGGAAGTACTCGCCCAGCTCCTTATAGAGGGTCTCCATGTTAGAATGCATCATTCGCAGCTTGTTATACTGTTCCTGTGCATCCTTCACAAAGCTGTGCAGCCAAGGAGTAAAGGACCAAGACCAGAGAAATACTCAGATAGATCCATGTTGGCATGCACAAGGATGTTTAATATAGCACTGCTTATAATAGCAAAAAACAGAAGAAATCCAAATATCCAAAACAGACAAATGGTAAACCATCAACTATGATACACTTACGAAATAGGAGATGGTAATTAATAGAGGCTGTTCTGTATATACTGCTATTGAGAGATGGCTAACCATATGTGAAAAAAGCAATACAATGAAATCAGAAAGAAGTCTTTGGGAAGGGGAAGGAGAAAGGAGTACGCGAATGTGTGTAGTGGAGACGCGGCACAGGGTGGGGGCATTAGGCAGGTTTATATGCATGGTTTGCTTTCCCTGGTCCAACAATGAGAATGCTTTCAAGAACTATGTATTTAATGAAGGAAAAAAAAAACCTTTTAAAAGGGAAAAATTATAGTCATTAGATCTGTCCTGCCAACCACCTCTCCCTACCCCCTCCCCCACCCTACCCTGCCACCATAAGAAGTTTTCTTTCCCCTCTAGGATGCAGTTCCCTCATTCTGAGAAAGGATATAGTCATTTTTTCAACAAACTTGTCTTTCTCATCTGTGGCAGCTGGGAAATTCTGAACATCACGTTCCACATCAGAAATTTGTTTCTTCATCTGATCTAGGTTCTTTTGCAAGTTCTCAGCAGAAACTAAAGAAAACACAAAAACAGTAAGAGTTTACTCATCCCAGCCTCAAGACCCCTTTGTTTCCACCCTTCAGGTCACAGCTGGGGCTATATACACACATTCTGGTACTTATTTCCGCTCTCTTATGTGCTCTCCTCTAGCTGTTTCACACATTTAAGTTTTCATCTTTTCAGTGAAACTACAAATTACTTGATGGCTGAACTTCCAGTCTCTTCAAGGTATACAGTACTAAGAACAGAACAAAGGCTTCATTTAATCTGATAAGAATATGAAGTCCCCTGGGATCTTGGTCTCATTTATTTTAGAGAACAGGGTTTGGGAGGAAGGAGACATACACAGAAAATATAAAGGCAGAAGCCTGCTTCCATTTTTTTTTTTTGCCTTAGTTTCAGGATAGTAAGGTCTGATTTTTGTTGAGCCAACCTGTATTTTCTGAATAAGAAAATGAGTGTTAACCTAGACTAAAAACATCTGCCTTTCTTTCAGCTGTTCTTTAGTACTGGAGAAATCAGTGTTTCCCATTTCTACACCTGCAGACCTCTCTTCTGCCTTATACTCCCTTGTGGCTTAGACACTATGCCTAACCCCTCTCTGATTCCCACTTAAAATAGTCTGAATTGAAACTGATCTAAAATCTAGATTGTGTCTTATCTCCCTCTCCATGAGGAGACTTTAGGAGCCTGGAACCATCTTCTAGCTTCACCCCAACCTGCCCCACCTCGGCTGGCCTTCTCCACATGGGCAAGTTCATCCGGAAACTTGAGGACATCAGGATAGTCATTCTCACACAACTCAGCTAAGAAGTGCAACAATGTCATCTTCTGATCTGCGGACTTGGTGTCTCGAAGCTTAGGGTGAGAGAAAAATTGTTAGTCCTGACATGCCTAAGATCACCTTAGGCCAACAGCAGTTTGTCACTCTGTTGTCCTGGTCTAACCCCCGGCTCACCTTACAGAGGAAGCTGATATCGAAGCCAAAGGCACCAGCATTCCTGGAGCCAGCATTCATATAGTTTCCAACAAGCAAGGTAATCTCCAGGAGGCTAGAGAAGTTCTTGCTTTTGCGTAACTCCTCACATGCAGCAGTCACAGAAACAATCTCTGGCTTGATATTCTCCACTTGCTCAATGAATTGTAGCTTGAAGAGGATGGCATTTAGGCGAGGCCGCAGCCGGGGCACAGTGCCCATCTAGAAGGAAAAAGAAGTTCCATTACAGCCAAAAGAGAGAGAAAAGAAAGAAAAATATACAGGTTTGAACCTTCTATGGAGGATCACAGTTCCAGAGTAGGGAGGTGAGAAAAAGATAGGTTCAAATTAGACATGAGGCAAGAAGCAAGTGCCCAGGCTGCTGTCCATGGGGTGGGGGCAGAGAAGAGGCTATGGTCACAGGCCTCACTTACCACCACGCCAAACTGCTCTGACTCAGCCAGGTCATCATATTCATCCTTCAGTTCAGAAAGCATTTTTAACTGTTCTGGCTCTGGCATCTGCTTAATGAGGTTCTGAAAGGGAGAAGGGACTGTTCTCAGTTTGAAGGGGATGAGCTGACAACTCAAGCTTTAACTTGACTCTTTTACTCTCCTATCAGTCCCATAATCTGCCCAAGGACTATTAAGAAAAAAACATGTGTTGGAGGGGGGTGGATTAGAGACACTAGTGAGATGGCAGGACTTCTGAAAATATACCAGAAATAACTAACCATCAGGAGAGATGGAAACTTCTCCAAAGCTAGTATTCTCTAAGTCAACAGCGTTAGAGCACCCTCCTCATCTAAGCAGAGAGGAGATGAGGTTAGTGTACAGCTATACAGAAGAGCCAGCTCCAGCAGACGACCTTGCTCCTTACCTGAATCATAGACTCAGTCAGAACGGCCTCATTCACCTCCAGGATGACAGTCTTGATCTCTTGATAGGGCATTCGGAAGGAACCCAAAAAGATTGCTGCCAGAAGAGGAGATATAAAGACACTTTCTTCTTATTCTTCCCCTCTCAACCCATTCTACAAACCTATGCTGGATAATCTTCCTAAGAGGGCTCTCTTAAAGTCACTCTCAGAAACCTCAGATAGTTCCTTACTGCCTATATAATTAAAACTCAAGTTCCTGAGTCCTATGTTTAAGGGTCCCACCTCTCAGCTTTCTTATTCATTAATCCCTACATTTATGTCACACACCAGCAACACTGTTCCATGCACCACACTCCAAAAACACCATAATTCTGTGCTTTTGCTCACACAGGAGGTCTCTGATCCTTCTGTCAATATACATCAAAGACTTCCCCCCATTCTGTTTTAGTTCCCCACTTCCACGACTCCATCCTCAAAGCTGCCATTGCCTTGAACTGCTGTGATTCTTAAAATGACATATCCCATTCCCTAACAAACACTTCCTATCCTTCTAGCTCTCTCACTTCCTAATCTTTTAAATTGACTCTTCAACCTCATCAGGAGTCTCTTGGTCTCCTGATAACTCCATTTTCTCTGAATGTATCAGTTCCACTCTGCCTTCTCTATTTAATGGAGACCCCACAGTCTGTCATTTTACTCAGTCTCTACTGTTACTCCCAATTCTCCTGTTTCCTACTCCTTCCAGTCTCTGGTTAATCCAGCCATCTCATTTCTCTGCTCTTACACCTAAGCTAATAAGCACTGCTAGTGAAAACTCTGCAGATCAGAGTCTACGAATTGGTAGTGGTACCAATGAGACCTGGGACCTCGGCACTGCCTAGCAATCTGTCTGTGTGTCCCTAGTCCATTCTTTCCATCCCCTCTCAGCAGCTCCTCCAAAATATCTCCATTCTCCCAACTGTTCCTCCACTTCCCCAATTGTTATGAGAAGACCTTACTCTTCTTCTTCACTGAGAAAAATTGAAGCCACCAGTCAAACTACTTGCTCAGCTTTCTCTCATGGCATCTACAACTTACCAGCACTTGGGAGCCTCAATAGGAGCCAGGCTAGAAAAGGCTTGGGTAAGGACTATTTTGGAATCACCTAGAAGACAACTAACTGTGCCAGGACTTCTGTAAGTTTATCAGAAACTATATTCATGTACTCATCGTTTCCTCTTGTTTCAACAGAAGAGGTGGCACTAATTATTAAACCTTGTCTTTCAGCATTTATACATAATCAAGTTTCTCCTATCTTAAAAAAAATCCCTTCCTGACCCAATGTTCCTCTCTATTTACTATCTTCTTTCCTTTACTTTACAGCTTTTAGAAAATACAACAGTCTCTTCTCTCTTAGTTCCACAGCTCTCATTTATTCTTCAACCCAAAATAATGTGACTTCTTTTCCCACAAAGCCAACGAATAAACAAACAAACAAACAAAAACCCAAATCAAACCAATTGCTATTAAGTTGACTCCAACTCATGGTAACCCCATGTGTGCCACAGTTAGAACCACAGGGTTTTCAATGGCTGACTTTTCCGAAGTACATCATCAGGCCTTTCTTCTGAGATGCCTTTGGGTGGACTTGAACCTACAACTTGCGATTAGCAGTGAGCACACTGTTTACACCACCCAGAGACTTCAATGAATAAACAGCAATCATTTATTTAGTGTATACCCTATGTAAGACATTGTACCTTAATCACAATAAGCAATCTACATATATTATCTCACTTAACCTTATTCATACTATCCCTATAAGTTGATATTATTAGCCCTACTTTACAGAACGGAAACTAACGCTTGAAGTTAAGCCACCGGTCTAAGGTCACACTGCTAGTAAGTGTCAGAGGCAGAATTTAAATATGGAATTGATTCTAGAGCCTTTAAAAGAAATGTACACAAGTTTATCATAAATTTTAATGATATAAAGGATGGGCAATTTACAAATAATAATAAAACATACAGTACTCTTTACTGTAAATTACACATAGGCAATTGAGTCTTAGAGAATGCTATCATTGATTTTTGCTGAAATCTTACATCCATTGCCAACTATGTTTACAACTGACATCAATGTTAGCTGATATTTTCCTTTACATTAATGAGCAATACAAAGGTGAAAGAACAAAAACATACACCAGAACTTCTCTTGTCAATGACGTGAGGAACTTCTTTACTGAATCAGATAACAGTTAAGAATACCGGAAGAATATTTCCTCAGTTTTGTGTTACTCATAATGTTACACCTACAGACATAATACTCTTTTATGTTTAATCGCCTTTGTTAACATTTTCTCCATCATTTTTTTAAGTCTAATCTCCCAGAGTCTTTGTTTTTAACCATTATACTATACTGAAATTATTCTTCCTTAGGCTCTTGACTCTCCAAATGCCAGATCCAAAAGATACTTGTCCTGCCCTGATTTTACCTGACCCTTGTCTTCACTGGACACTGCTGACTACTCCCTCTTCTTATGACTATGTGATGCTATTTTCTCTGGCTGGAACCTCCTTTGAGGTCTCCCCCTTTCCCCCTTGCCTACTTGTCCCTTAAATGTTAGTGTCCTTCAAGGCAAACCTATGGTTTCAACTATCATTCAAATGCTATAATTATTCCACCAGAACTAAATTCTTAGAGAACTTCTCACATTTCAAATAGTTGGGATCACAGTTACTCACAGAGATTCTGGGCTGTCTTGGAATCCAACACCTTCAACTCTTTTACTTTTTTCTTTTGCACAGATTTCTCTTTTTCTCCACCTTCCTGATCCTTCTTGGCTATGAAGAGAAAGATTAGAAAAACACGATTAAGGACAAGCTACTTCTGTGCCTTACTGAGTTATTGTCCCAGCCTGGAATTGCCCCTCCTTCTCCTCTCTAATAATAATCTTCCTATTGTATCCCTTCAAGGTTAATCTCCTCTTTAACTACTCACCCCTTCTATTGCTGATTCCACCAACTATAATAAATAACTTATTTTCATTTCTTCAATAGTTCTTCAACCCACCTACATCCTGTCTACTTGCAGAGATCAGCAAACTTTCTGTAAAAGGCTAATCAGTAAATATTTTAGGCTTTGTGGGCCATATGGTCTGTCTCAACTTCTGAACTCTGCCAATATAGCACAAATGCAGCTACAGACAGATAATACATAAATGAATGGACATTGCTGTGTTCCAATAAAGCTTTATTAACAAAACAGGCAGTCGGTCTGGGGGCTGTAGTTTGCCTGTACTGGAGTCTTCCACTGTGCTATCCTTCTGTGCCTATTAAAAATCCTAATATTTTTCATGAGGCGGAGCCAACATGGCACTATAGACAGAAGCATCACACCGTCCCTCCACAGCAAAGACCCAAAAAACTAAGTAAAACAGAGACAAACGTCAATCCTGGAACCCTAAGTGTCAAATGAAGAGATAAAGAACTCAACCAAGCACCGAATGGAATAAGAAACTGACAAAGAACGGACAGCAAGAAGAGATACGGAGCAGAGGTCCTTTATCAGCTAATACAGCACGGATTTGCGATCTTGGGTTCCTGTTGGAGATCAGTGGACAGGCAGTATGTGAAAGTAGCTTCATAGAGCTTCCAGTAGGAGAGAGAGCACCCAATAACCAGCAATACACACTTTCCCAGCCCCCGCACCCTTCTTCCTCCTACTTGGCCTCCGCTGCTTCCCAGCAGGCTGCAGTTGCTCAGCCAGGAGGTGCCTGCTCCATGCCACTTGGATTCATCCTGCCCACACCAGCTAGCTCCTTCAGTGCCATTTCTTTGTTGCTGGTGTTGCATTTTTCAGCTTCCTTTGGTTTCTTCCCTGTCTCTCACCTCCTCCCCCACCTTTCTCTCAAACACCTGGCTCCGTGTGCCATTTTTGCTTCTTCTTGACAGGCTGTGAAGTGCCACTCGGCTGGGAAACTGCTTCCCTGGTCCGTGCCACCATGATGGTGGGATCCCTGGGTACTTTTTGTTTTGTTTTTCTTCACTTGTCGGTTTCTCGTCTCTCTCTACTTACCTTCTTTCCCTGTGTCCTGAATATCTGGTGCTGTGTGCCATCTCTGCCCCTTCTAGCCAGGCTGTACTATGCAGCTGCACTACTGGGATCCCTGGGGGCATTTTTTTTTTTTTCCTTCATTTCTCAGTTTCTCATCTCTCTCTACTTACTTTCTTTTCCTGTCTCCTGAATACCTGGTGCTGTGTGCATCTCTGCCTCTTCTAGCCAGGCTGTACTGCACGGCTTGGGAGCCATTTCCCCAGTCTGTGAAGCTGTGCCAGTAGGATCTCTGGGGGTGTTTCTTTCTTTTATTTTATACTTTTTTTTCTTTTTTTTTTTTTCTTTTTGTTTTCCTTCATTTCTTAGTTTTCTGTCTCTCTCTACTTTCCTTCTTTTCCTGTCTCCTGAATGCCTGGTGCTGTGCGCCAACTCCAACCTTCTAGACGGGCTGTGACCCGAGGCCTGGGAGCCACTTCCCTGGTTGCTGGTGGGATCCCTGGGGGCATTTCTTTTCTTTTTTTGTTAATTTTTATGAATTTATTTTTTCTCTTTTCCTTTTTGTTTTTCTTCATTTCTCAGTTTCTCGTCTCTCCATTCCAATGGCAGGCTCCCTTAGCACTTTTTCTTGGCTCCTGTTTCTCTCTCCTCTCTCCCTTCTTTCCCATACCCAACTTAGCTCCACGAATGACAACCTCCCCCCTCCTTCCTGCCTATCTGCACCATGCGCTGAACATCACAACCCTGAGCAACACAGGCACAGCCTACCGGAACCTGCCCTGCAATGGGCCCCGGCCGAAACTGTTGGCCCAAACACGTGTCACAAACAACCCATCCCAGCAACTCTCCTTCAGCTGGACCTGCCCTGCTGCACCAGAGCTAAGCAAATGGCCCTGCCCATTGGACAGGGAGGTGAAAACTATCGTGCCCACAGATGAACAAACAACAAAAAACACGCAACTTGCCTACTCAGACATAACCAAATAAGAAAAAAAGCAGGATGAAACAAACCTACAATTAATAAATGAAGACAATGACACTGATACTGAATATCCCAAAGACAGTAGACAATATCAAAACATACAAAAAAAGAAAAAAAAGGACAGGATGGTTCCAGTAGGCGTCCAAAATAAAATACCAGATGACTTTTCAGTAGAAGAAAAGGCACACCAACTACCTGATAGGGAATTCAAATCTCTAATTTTCAGAGATATCCAAGAGTTGAAGCAAAAAGCAGACAAAAAGGAAGAAAAAATAGACAAATTCATGGAAAAGGCAGACAAAATCATGGCAAATACAGATAAAACAATGGAAGAACTCAGGAAAATAATACAGGAACAAAATATCAAAATAAATTCACAACTAGAAATCATACACAAACAACAATTCGAAAGCCAAAAGATAAACAACAAGATTTCAGAAATGGACACTATCATAGAAGGGCTGAGGAGCAGGTGTGAAACAACAGAAGATGGGATCAGCAAAATTGAAGACAAATACTTGGCTACCTCTTTGTTTGAGGAAAAATCATAAAAAAAGAACGAAGAAAAATGAAGTAACCCTGAGAATTATGTGGGATACAATCAAAAGCAAAAATCTGCGAGTGATCAGAGTTCCAGAACGGGGGGAGAAAATGGAAAACCCAGAGAAGGTCATTGAAGAATTGCTGACAGAAAACTTCCCTAATATCATGAAAGATGAAAAGCTGACCATGCAAGAAGCTCAACGAACCCCATATAGGATAGATCCAAAAAGAAAATCACCAAGGCATATCATAATCACTCTCACTAAAATCAAAGACAAGGAAAGCATCCTGAGAGCAGCTCGAGAAAATAAAAAGTTACATACAGAGGGGAAACAATAAGACTAAGCTCTGATTACTTGGCAGACATCATGCAGGCAAGAAGGCCATGGGATGACATATATAAAACCTTGAAAGAAAAAAAATTGCCAACCAAGAATAATATACCCTGCAAAACTCTTGTTCAAATATGATGGTGACATTAGGACATTTCCAGATAAACAGAAATTAAGGGAATATGTAATAACCAAACCAAACTTACAAGAATTCGTAAAGGGAGTCCTTTGGTTCGAGAACAAACAACATCAGATGACAGCCTGAATCTACGACACAAGATCACATCAGCCAGATACCAATCTAGGAAATGAACTCTCAAGGACTATTCAAAATGAAAAGATTTACAATAGGGAACCACAGAGGTTAATCTGTAAATGACAACATCAGAACAATAAAAGAGGGAATAAACGGTGTAGGTATAGAACTTTCTAATGGAGAGGAAGACAAGGTAATACCAAGTAATGAAAGACTGGTTCAAACCTAGGAAGATAAGGGTAACTTTCAAGGTAACCACAAAGAAAGTTAACAAACCTACTCATCAAAATAAAGAAAACAAAGCCTCAGTAAAAACAAAATCCACAAAAACAAAAGAAATGGAAAAAAAATCCACAAACAAAAGTAACTCAGTACAGGAGAGTAAGAGGAACAAAGAAAATGTCAGCACCACAAAAAAAAGCACTACAAAATGACAGCAATAAACTCACACCTATCAATAATTACACTGAACGTAAATGGCCTAAATGCACCCATAAAGAGACAGAGAGTGACAGAATGGATAAAAAAACAGGATTCATCAATATGCTGTCTATAAGAGACACACCTTAGACAAAAAGATGTAAATTTTTAAAAAATCGAAGGATGGAGAAAAATATATCAAGCAAACAGCTACCAAAAAAGAGTAGGAGTAGCAATACTAATCTCAGATAAAACAGACTTTAAAACAAAATCCACCATAAAAGACAAAGGGCATTATATCATGATTAAAGGGATGATTCATCACGAAGGCATAACCATAATAAGTATCTACGTACCCAATGACAGTGCTCCCAAATACATGAAACAAACTCTAACAGCACTGAAAAGAGAAATTGACCGTTCCACTATAATAGGAGGAGACTTCAACACACCCCTCTAGGTAAAGGACAGAACATCTAGAAAGAAACTCAACAAAGATACAGAAGATCTGAAGGCCACAATCAGCCAACTTGAACTCATACAGACTCAACAGCTACAAAGTACACATTCTTTTCCAACACACGTGGAAGGTTCTCCAGAATAGACCACAAAGCAACCCTCAACAAAATTCAAAACACTGAGATAATACAAAGTATCTTCTCTGATCACAATGCCATCAAAGTAGAAATTAACAGGAAGAGCAAGGGAAAAAAAAATCAATTACATGGAAACTGAACAACACCCTGCTTAAAAACCACTGGGTAACAGAAGAAATTAGAGACGGAATCAAAAAATTCCTAGAATTAAATGAGAATGAAAACACATCATACCAAAACCTCTGGGACACAGCAAAGACAGCGCTCAGACGTCAATTTATAGCAATAGAGGCACACATCAAAAAAGAAGAAAGGGACAAAATCAAAACATTAGCTACACAACTCAAACAAATAGAAAGAAAACAACAGAAGAAGCCCACAACCACCAGAAAAAGGAAATAATAAAGATCAGAGAAGAAATAAATGAAATAGAGAATAGAAAAACAATAGAAAGAATCAACAAAACCAAAAAGTTGGTTCTTTGAAAGGATCAACAAAATCGACAAACCACTGGCCAAACTGACAAAAGGAAGAGGAGAGGATGCAAATAACCCAAATAAGAAATGAAATGGGGGACACTACAACTGACCCAACTGAAATAAAAAGGATCATAACGGAGTATTATGAAAAACTCTACCCCAACAAATTTGAACACCTAGAG